TCTGCCTAAGCCAGGCCTCCCAAAGTGCTGGGATTACAGGCTAAGACACCACGTCTGGCTGAAATAAATTTTTAAATCATAAAAACATATTTTTACTTCTCCTTTACACTGCACTTAGGGATTACACTGACTCTTTAAGAAAGTATGTTTATCAGTAGGTTATATTATCTATGAACTTAATTTCACAAGTGCAAAGATGATGTTACAAAGCATTTGTTATAAAAAGTGTTCACTGTCTTTGGGAGGCCGACGCGGGCAGATCACCTGAGGTTGGGAGTTTAAGACTAGCCTGACCAACATGGAGAAATCCCGTGTCTATTAGAAATACAAAATTAGCCAGGCATGGTGGCATATGGCTATAATCCCAGCTACTAGGGAAGCTGAGGCAGAAGAATAGCTTGAACCAGGGAGGCAGAGGTTGCGGTAAACAGAGATTGCACCATTGAACTCTAGCCCGGGCAACAAGAGTGAAACTTCACCACAAAACAAAAAAGAAAAAAAATGTTCATTGAATCTGGTGAAACAAAAACCACTCTAGAAAAAAAAAAACAAAGGCCTTCCTACAGTCTTTGTCATTCCCCCTGCCTGGATGCTTGCCTTACAGTCCCACACGTGGACACTATGCTGACTCCTGGCAAGGCTAGCTCCACCTCATTTATCCTGTTTTAGTTCAGTTCACCTTTTTTTTACAGAGGTTGTATCTGAACTTCACCACCCCCACCTTACCACAGAGCTCATTTATTTCCTTACTAGCATTTCACACAATCTGCAAGACTTTCAATTTTTGTATATTGCCCCCCTTCAGAATGGAAGCTCCAGAAAGACAGGGACTGAGCAATCTTATACCCTATATTTAGCAAAATGACTAGGGCACTTAGCAGGAGATCATTAAATATTTATTGAATAAACAGGCTTACAAATAAACATTAATAGATTATAACAAAAATCCCAGAAACTGTCAACAAGGAAATAAAAAGACAACCAAGAATAAAAGAATGAAAAGAAATTATACCATTTCCAAGTAAATGATGGGAAGGTTACAACACATAATAAAGACAGTAAATGTAAAATGACGGAACTGATTCAAAAGTTAAAGCCGGCGGTATGCCTTCTATGGAAACACCTAAAACCAAAAATACAGAGAGAGGCTAAAAGATGGGCAAAATACATCAAATTTTTAAAAAGCCAGAGGTTAAGAGACTCAGATGAGATAAAGCCGGACCTCAAGGAAAAGAACATTAAATACAACCAAAAGAGACACTTTATAATGATTTTGAACACAATTCTTAAACTATGACTGCCAAGAACATTTATAAACTAAAAACTCTGCTTGAAAATATAACAAAGCAGTAACTCCAGGAAATATCAGGGAAAAAAAAGTAAAAGTTGTGAGAGATTCTGATGTTTGCTCAGTCATTGCTTAGATCAAGCAGTCAAAAAATAAATATGTATATAGATGAAAAGCTGATAGATTGTATTTTCTATTAAAATGAAAACATGACAAACAACAAAAATAAGTAGTTCACAAAGAAACAAAGAAAGAATAAATACAAAAAATGTGGAATAAAAAGAGAAAATAAAGTCCTAAGGCTACACTATAAAATCGCACACTATTAAATTTGAAATTTTAAAATGAATGATTTTCAGGGAAAACACAAATTATCAAAATTGACTCACAAGATAGAAAACTTAAAGACATAAGCAAATAAAACATTAAGAATGTTGCCAAGAAAGCAACAAGCCAGATGTATATGCTTCCACATTTTTAAGGAATTTACTATTCTCATAAGAAATGAGTGGGGAGGGGAAGAAAAACTTTTCTTTTTATGAACCCAGCATAATAACCATAACTAAAATCTGACAAAGCACACAAAAAAGAAAACTGACCATACTGAAACCATATTTAGTGTCCTAAATACACTAATATAAAAAACCTATAAATACGTAAAGCCAAAAAAAGGTTATCCTATGAGTATAAGGATGGTTCAATACTAAGAAACATAGTAGTCCATTTCACCATAAATTAAATAAGTTAGCAACAACAAAGATCTCAAAAGATGCAAAAATATTTTCTCAATTTACTTCTGCAATATCTTCCTGATCTCTATGGCTACTTCATAAAAAATACATAGCCAATGTGTAAGCTACGTAAAGGTATTTGCTTCAGCATTGTTAAATATTTTAAAACCCATTAATCAGGTACACACAGTGGAGTACTAATCAGCCATACATCATTATGGAATATTTGTAACGCTGAGAAAGCAAACTAAAAGAATAAACATCAAATTACTTACAGAACTCGTTCCTGATTATGTAAGATTTTACTAACAAGCATTTTATCACAGGACATGTATCACATATGTGATGCATGTTTAATAGTAATATTAAACTCCAGCATATGTGATGCATGAGTTTAATGTTTAATGTTACGATTTTACTCTATGTACTGCTACACTGTTATTGTTTTCTAGGGGGGAAAAGTGAAAACTCATTTTGCCCCTATGAGCCATGTAATAAGGAAACAGGAAAGAGTTTAGGCCAACAAAGGCCATATAAAATGACAAAGGCCAAATAAAATGACGGCGATAATATTAAGGAAATACAGATAAAAGATACACAAACAGGAAAAAGCAGAGCAAAGTTAAAACAATGGTATCCACAGAAAGGGTACACAAGGGACAGTGACAGCCTAGTGTGTGGATTACATGTGAGCCTCCCACTGCTAAACAGTGTATTCCTCAAATAACCCCAAAGAAATACTATTTAGAAATTCTAGAGTTTCATGTGCACTCTTACAAAGCTACTGCAATCTCTTTCCTATCAACCACTTGCCTCAAGTTAGACATCTTTTTACACAACAGACATTCTACACTATGCTGCCATCTGCAGAGCAGACTTAACACTAAAATTCCCACCGAGAACATTTAAATATGATGTTTGTTGAAGGCATCAAAGTAAATGATGGAGAAACTAAAACTGAACTAGTGATATAACTATATTGGGAGAGGAGTGATAAGTACAGGAAAGAGAAATGACAGTAAGTCACACAATGTTTAAAGTNAAAAAAAAAAAAAAAAAAAAAAAAAAAAAAAAAAACAAGAAACAATAGCATAAGCATATTTAGCAATTGGGAACAAACTGAAGAACCCAAAATAAAACTAGTTAAGTAGCTGCCACAAAAGAAAGAAAAGCTAGAGTAGGGAAAGGCATGTCTGCCTTTTATTACAGCATTTTACTCTCTGAACTTGCAATACTTGTAAGTTTTTTTTAAGTATTGCAAATATTTTCCAAAATGAGTCAATTATGCCTAAGAATAAAGGAATCAGTTATTTCTTAGAGGAGTATTTTTTTTTAAGCTCAGAAATATCTTAAATGGTTTTTAAACTTAAAAAAAAAAAAAAAAAAAAAAACAAGGTCTCACTCTGTCACTCACTCAACCAAGGCTGGCGTGCAGCGGCACGATCAGCTCACTGCAACCTCAAGCTCCTGAGTTCAACCAATCTAACCTCCTGTCTCAGCTTCACAAATAGTTGACCACAGGCATGTGCCACCAAGCCTGGCTATTTTTTATGTTTTTTGTAGAGATAGGGTCTCACTTTTTTGCCCAAGCTGGTCTTGAACTCCTGGCTTCAAGTGATCCTCACGCCTTGGCCTCTGAAAGTGCTGGGATTAGAGGCAGAAACCACCATGACCAGCCTTAAATGTTTTTAAAAGCAAAGGCAACGTTCCAAGTAACGAAGTCTAAAAGCAATATAAAAATTGCCAAGCAGTGCTGAAGTCTTTGTTCAATAGGCACCAATCACTACAATGGATAAGTTTACTACATACTTGCTGTGTTATATACAAAAGCTTATTAGAAACAGCACCATCAAACAACTGGAATACTGCCGCAAATTTTTATTTAATTAATATTTATTATCAACCAATTCCCTGTAAGGTACTCAACTGGGATTTTCACAAAAATACAATTTCCTAAAACAACTTCGGGCAAACTAAAGCCCTATCTACCAGAACCACAAGCCTGGATATCTACAGTCAGATAGTCAGAAAACAAAAGGAAAACTTAAGGTTACTGCACAAATCACAAAATCAAAATCAAGACATTTACTCGCTACTAGAGGGATAAGACTTATAAATATATTTGTTATACAAAATTACTAATTCAGTAGAATCTCTTTTATTTAATGCCATACAGAAGAGCCAATAGGACTACCAGGCAGGCCACAGCAATAGTCTCACATTTGGAGTTTATTAGTATTTTGCTCTATGTACTTTAGTATTTTACTGTTAATTTTCATTATTTTGAAATTTTATAAGTAAACTGATATTCAATTATTTTCCTGCCATTTTATAAAACTTCCACAGTAATACAAATTTACAGTAAAATACCATTACATTTGCTAAAATGGCAATTTCTACTTGAACAAGAAATTTTTCATCATTAAACCTTTGTTTAATGATGACAAGTTATTGACCAAAATTTAAAACTAAAGTCCAAATATAGGTATTGTACATTTAGTAAGAGACCTGACATACAGCTTAGCATCCAACTCCACATTTCCAAAAAGAAAAACATCATCTCCTTCCTATTCAATTTGATAACTGAAAGATTCATAAGGTAAGAGAATACCATTCATCAATAAAAGTTTATTCTTTTTCCTATCCTGCAACAAGCTTTTGTATCAGGATATGAACTTATATTTGTAAAAGTATAAAAATAAAGAAACAAACTCGTTTGGCACAGCTGAGCTACAAACATAAGAAATCCTGAACTGAGATGTTAAGTATAATTAACCTAAAATCTTTCAAATCACATATTTCAAATTGCATTCTAAGAAACAATATGTTAGACATAGGGGCCACTGGCTCTGTTCTCAGAGATGATAATGCTAAAAAACCAGTAGGATTTAAATTATAATTGTATTACAAATATAAATTTTATCACCATAAAATTGTAATATACTTGCAAACTAAAGAAAGTATAATACAGAAAGACTCACCTTCATCCACAGAAAACTGACAGCTCTTATCATTGAAGAAAAGTATTTTCTTCTTATCAGGACGATTTACAAATAATATCTGGTCCCCCAAAGCCTTAAAGATAGATAAAACAAAAATTTTTCAGTTAACTCCAAATTACCTCACCAAAAAAAATTTTCACACAATAAAGGACTTTCATTTCCTTAACCCACTCAGTGTACCACCATAGGGTCCACTGGACCCAATTTTAGTTTTTGTTTTGTTTTTAAGAGACACCCAGACTGGAGAGCAGTGGCACAACCACAGCTCACTGCAGCTTCAACCTCTCAGGCTCAAGCAATCCTCCCACCTCAGCCTCTGGAATAGCTGGGACCACAGGTGCATTGCCACCATGTCTAGTTAATGTTTTTAAGTTTTTCTAGAGAAAGGGTCTCACTATATTGCCAGAGCTGGTCTTGAACTACTGGGCTCAAACAATCTTCCCACCTCAGCCTCCCAAAGTGCAGGGAGTACAGGCATGAGCCACTCCACCAAGCCCCAATTTTAGTTTTAGAGTTTCTTTCTTGAGCACTGTTTTTGGTTTGCTTTTTTTCTTTTTTTTTGAGACAGAGTCTCATCCTGTCGCCCAGCCTAGGGTGCAACGGCACGATCTGCGCTCACTGCAACCTTCTATCTCCTTGGTTCAAGCGATTATCCTGCCTTAGCCTCCTGAGTAGCTGGGACAACAGGCAAGTGCCACAACGCCCACCCAACTTTTTGTTTAGCAGAGACATAGTTTCACCATGTTGGCCAGGCTGGTCTCGAACTCCTGACCTCATGATCCACCCACCTTGGTCTCCCAAAGTGCTGGGAATACAGGCATGAGCCACCTCGCCCAGAAGTTCTATTTTTAAAAAATTAGTATTTCACAACTTGTATTCTTAGATGTCTTCCAAAGAACAAAAAGAAAATGTGTTTCACTTAAAACAGAATAAAATTCAATCTTTGTTGCAATTACTATTTGGGTCCATGGGACTCTTTTACTAATCTAAGATGCATAATGGAATCTTGGTATTCTTACTTTTCCTCTACCTTGAGATATTTTGCTACTTACTCATCATTACCCATCAATTATTTCCATTTGTGCTTTTAAAATCCTAAAATAGTAAGAAAACAGAAGAATGATTAAATCACCTAGAAATGTGATGCAATGGCAAAATATCATGGGCATCCTTCTGTTTGCTTACCGCATTGCCCAAAGTATTACATTACACCTTTTCAATAACATATAAAAGATTGGAAGAGTCGTCTTCTTGTCTTTTTAACTTTCATTGAGCACACCTGACAAAAAAATGTTGTTATTTTCTACCCTTGAGAGCAAAGACAAGAAAACTGACAAAGGACATTTCACAATTATTAGATGAATCAAAATATGAATGCAGAAAGTCAAATAGCAGCACTCTAGAGTATCTGGTAAAAATTCATCATACGAATAAAGTCTCAAGCTATGATCTTTAGATGACAATAACACAAGTGAATAATCTCAAGCTTAAGAATCAACAAGTCAACAAGATGCTTCTAAATACAAAATGGAAATGACATTGTCATCCCGTTATTCAACTGGAAGATTATCACACAATATTTTGTGACAAGAATCTTTATCATCTCACTTTGCTAAAAGGATATGTGATAGTATTCCTTCTTCTTTTCGATGTGTGTTTGCCGAAACTTACTTGATACAGGAGTTAAATTCTTAATAAAACCTCTAATAAAGCTGTTTTCATCATTCCATTATTCTTACTCATGTAAATTATTCATGAAACGGCTTAAAATAGTATAAAAGTAACAGTCCACTAGATCCAGGTGGTAAAAAGTGATGACTACAGAATGAGTAACCCAAATCCCAAAATCTCAAATCCAAAATCCAGAACTTTTTGAGTGTTAACATGACATACAAAAGAAATACTTACTGGGGGGATGGGCATGGTGGCTCACGCCTGTAATCCATGCACTCTGGGAGGATCACTTGAGGTCAAGAGTTCAAGACCAGCCTGGCCAACATGGTGAAAGCCCCATCTCTACTAGAAATACAAAAATTAGCCAGGCGTGTGGCGGGTGCCTATAATCCCAGCTACTTGGGAGGCTGAGGCAGGACAATCTCTTAAACCTAGGAGATGGACATTGCAGTGAGCCAAGATCATACCCCTGCACTCCAGCCAAGGTGAAAGAGCAAGACTCCGTCTTAAAAAAAAAAAAAAAAGAAAGAAAAAGAAAAGAAAGAAAGAAAAGAAAAGAAAAGAAATATTGGAGCATTTTGGATTTCAGGTTTTCAGCTTTGGGATATTCAGCTGGTATAATGAAAATATCCCCAAATCTGAAAAAATCCAAAATGCAAAACAATTCTGGTTCCAAGCATTTCAGATAAAGAGATAGTAAAATTGTACATACGTAAAATAAATGAAGTAACCTGAAGGCACTGCTAAAAAAAATTAAAGACATGAATAAATGATAAGAATTCTGTGCTTATGTATTTAAAAACTTAATGCAGTTACAATTAATAACTGTATTAACTGATGGGGATTACACTGAATATGTAGATAACTTTGGGTAGTACTGACAGTTACCCAGTTTCACCATGTTGGCCACGTTGGTCTCAAATTCCTGACCTCAAGTGATCCGCCTGCCCTCAGCCTCCCAAAGTACTGGGAATACAGGTTGGCCTGATTAATGTCGCTTTGAAATCAGGAAGATTTCAAATGTAGATACATATTTAATATGTAGATAATTTTGGGTAGTATTGACAGTTACAATGTAATCCCTATCAAAATCCCAATGGCATTTTTTCGCAGAAATGGAAAAATCCATCCAAAAATTTATATGAAACTTCAAGGGACCATAAAAACAGCCTGAAATGGTTTGGATCTGTGTCCCCATCAAATCTCATGTCAAACTGTAATCCCAATGTTGGAGGTAGGGCTGGTGGGAAGTGACTAGATTGTGAAGATGGATTTCCCCCTTGGTGCTATTCTCCTGAGAGTGAGTTCTCGTGAGATCTGGTCATTTAAAAGTCTGTGGCACCCTCCCCACACTCTCAAAATGGAAACGGGCACCTGTAATCCCAGCTCCTGGGCCATGTAAGATGAGCCTGCTTCCCCTTCAACTTCTGCCATGATTATAAGTTTCCTGAGACCTCTCCAGAAGCTGTGTAGACAACAGCATCATGCTTCCTAGACAGCCTGCAGAACCATGAGCCAATTAAATCTTATCTTTATAAATTACCCAGTCTCAAGCATTCCTCTATAGCAGTGCAAGAATGGACTAATACAAAGCCAAAACAATCCTGAACAACAACAAATTGGTGACCTCACTCTTCCTGATTTCAAAACATACTACAAAGCCACATTAATCAGGCCAGGTGTGGTAGCTCACACCTGTATTCCCAGCACTTTGGGAGGTCGAAGGCAGGCAGATCATCTGAGGTCAGGAGTCTGAGACCAACCTGGCCAACATGGTGAAACTGCATCTCTACTAAAAATACCGTAACTCCGGCTACTCGGGAGGCTGAGGCAGGAGTATCACTTGAACCGGAGGCAGAGGTTGCTGCGCTCCAGCCTGGGTGACAGAGTGAGACTCTATCTCCACAAAAAAAAAAAAGCTACATTAATCAAAACAATGTACTACTGGCATGAAAAAAGACATATAGGCCTATGGAACAGAATAGAGAGCCCAGAAATAAACCTTCACATATATGGTCAAATGAATTTCCACATGGGGTACCAAGACTAAGACTATTCAATGGGCTTACAATTAAAAAACACACCAGCTGGGCTTAACAAGTTGGAAGTGAAGAAGAAAAGTCAGTGAATTTGACAATGGATTAATAGAACAGAAAAAAAAAAAAATTGAAATAAAAAGAGCCTCAGGGACTTGTGGTACAATATCAGGTGGTCTGACATGTATAATTCCATTACCAAGAAGCAGAGGAGATAAAGGGGCAAGTTTTCTTCTACAGGTAGCAAAAAGAATGAACCTGCTTAATAAGCTGACATTAATCAGTAGCAACTGTGACAAATGGAAACAAGCAGCTTTCTCCAGTACGTTTCAAATTTAAACCGGAAATGTAATCTGTATCAATAGGACTTTCATAGTGTGCGACCCCTGGTTGTGGGACCCCAACCCACGGAGGCAGGCCCCCAGTAGACATGAGGCAGGACACGTGGTGGCCGGTACCGACTTTATTGGGATCTCCGGGCGACGAATCGCGCGCGCTTTCTTTGTTCGGTCGACTTTATAGGGACAGAGGGCCTGGGGCGGTAGGAGAGCTGACCTGGCAGGTAGTAATTGGCTAGGTTGATTGCTGGGCAGGAAGCCTGCCGGGCGGGAGCTTGTGGGACGGGAGGTTACGGGAGAGCTGGTGGGGCGGATGGTGATTGGTTCAGTGGGCCGCTGGGTGGGAAGGTTGCTGGTCTTGGGTCCCGCCAGGATAGAGTGAGATAAGGGACCCTCCCTGTGGGGGAGGAAGGGCCTTCCTTTTCGGGAATTAGGCCCTTTCCACATGGCTGGGGAACGGGGCCAAAAGTCCTCTACCAGACACATAGATAGCCCCTTCAGGACTTCAAAAGAGCTAGGTTATTAACCAGTGCTTTTGTGTTTAATACTTCTAGTTCCTCAGGTAAGGAACATCTACTAGTGTTATAGAAGATGCTCTTATTTACAAACACAGCTTACAAGAGAAACTCTCTTGCCTTTGAGGAAAATTTTCCATAAATATCCTTAACAGTGTCACAATCATACAGCAACAACAACAACAGGAACCTACTAAAGTTACACAGAGATGGCTGCTCCCTCTCCTGCTCGGTGGCACAAGATAAATTTCAAATCTTCAAGTGGCTCACTATAACCCCATTTGTATATAATGGAAGCTTTAAAAACAACTGTTAAATGTTTGATATTTTAAAAACCAAGAAGTCATTATTCATTCAAATTATATCAAGACATAGAAAGAAAAGAGAGATTAGTTACCTTGACAGCTTTCTGGGAATTGGGCAGTGCTTCTTCTATGTCTTCTAAAAGAATTCCTCCTAATCCTCGCTGGTCATGCTGATCTAAGAGCCTGAGTAGGGCCTTCTTATCTCTCACGTTGTACTTGGGCTTGAAAGCATACTTCCCATCTATTACTTCAATTTTGGGATTGTTGACTAAAGCCTGTAACCGTGATAAAAATGGTAATATATTAACAAATGGAAACATAAATACTAAATTCTTTTTTTTTTTTTTTTTGAAACCGTCTTGTTCCGTCTCCCAAGCTGGAGTGTAGTGGTGCCATCACGGCTCACTGCAGCATACGCCTGCTGGGTTCAAGCTATTCTCCTGCCTCAGTCTCCCGAGTAGCTGAGACTACAGGTGCACACTGCCACATTCAGCTACTTTTTTTTATTTTTAGTAGAGACAGGGTTTTACCAGGTTGGCCAGGCTGTTCTTGAACTTCTGACCTCATGTGATCCACCCACCTCAACCTCCCAAAGTACTGGGATTATAGCCGTGAGCCACCTCACCCAGCCCATATATACATTCTTAATTCTACTAATTATTTTAAAATACAACAGTAGCCAAAACAGTGACAAATTAAAAGTACCTTATGAATACAAACTGGTAGGCCTAAAATCCTGGACATCCAGGATTCCAGAACAGATCGGCCTGGTGCTCACTTTTTACAAAGGAAAGTGTATTATTTACCTAAATTATTTGAAGAGAAATAAGCCATTTTAACAGAACTGCTTTGAAAAAAGCTAAATCCATATTCTTTTAGAAGTCAAAATGGGTACAAATCAATAAAACACCCACTAATATTAACAAAGTAAACTGAGTAGTGCCTATTCCACCCACTAAGTATAGCTTATCACATACTGGCATTATGTATAACGGGAGGGACATTACCCTTACTAGTCAATGGTCTTCCCCACCTGCTATCAACTGGCACTGGCAGCTGTGGAAGGAACTGAAAAGGACCAGACTAGCGCATACAAGAACTTTACCTATAATGGCAGCTTGAAAATGAAACTGAGTAGGAATGCAGGAATTACTGAATATGTTTCTAGTCAGTTCTGTTGTACAGCTAATATCAGAAAGAAAGCTCAAGAAAGAGCATCCCTATATATTTTCTTCTGCAGCTGCCAGCCTGCCCTGAAAGGAGAGAGAGAAGAAACACAGAAAGAAGAAAAAAGGGAGAACAGAATAGTAAAATGATCAAAGTAATTGATAACTATATGTTGGCAGTCTATGAAATCTCAAGGTTAGGTAAACCAGCAAATTTAAATGTGGATTATCATTGTCTGTATATCACTAATACAATGGGCTACAATGATACTGATTAATGGTCATGTTACATTATAAAAGTCAAGACCTATATTTTTCATGGTAAAAAACAAATAAATTATATGTTAGTAATTTTATATTTGGTTTCTAGAATCTATCTCTGGTCCTAGAAAGTTGTCTTCTTAGTTTTCACTTCATATTTAAATTCAAAAGCGGTAAACATCTGAATTTTTAAACGCTATTCATTTCCAAATTAGCATGGTCACTGAATGTGTTGGGGTTTCTTCAAATGGTATGTGTTCATACAGCCTTCATGACTTTTTTCCCCACATAAAGTCATAATAGCAGTAATTGTGCAACAAAATGTCTTCCCATCCCTGCAGTACCTAATGCTTTAAAATTTTCTAAAACAAAAACAATTCAATTTAAAAGCACACAAATTATAAATCTGGCAATTCAAACTAAGCATTAATTAATCTGTAAAAAACATAAGTGGAATTGGTACATTGACTTCTTTACAACTTTTACACAGAAGTTTACCTTTAACATTATGAAATAAATACATACATAAAAGTATATGAAAACCAACAAATCAGTATTATAAATGTGTACATCCAAAAAACAACCCTACACGATTTCTTTTAAGAAAAAGCAAAAACCATTATCAGATTTCACCATATTAAAAACATTCTAGACAAGGCCCAGTGGCTCATGCCTGTAACCCTAGCACTTTGAAAGACTGATCACTTAAGGGCAAGAGCTCAAGACCAGCCTGGCCAACGTGGTGAAATCCTGTCTCTACTAAAAATACAAAAATTAGCCTGGCATCATGGCGCACGCCTGCAGTCCCAACTACTCGGGAGGCTGAGGCTGCAGTGAGCTGAGATCATGCCACTGCATTCCAGCCTGTGCAACAGAGCAAGACTCTGTCAAAAAAAAAAAAAAAAAAAAAAAAAAAAAATTATAGTGACAGGAAATCTCTTAATAATCAAATAATTTTTTAACAATGTTTTAAACCTGTTCTTACCTCAGTCATTAGCCATTGTTTCTGCTTGAGTCCAATATCTAAATGCTGTGTTTCATCCAAAATTTCATCTAAGGTTAGAGGATGCGTATCTCCTCGCTGATGCCGTGTCTATTGAGTGAAAAAATTGTTATTAGAACATAATTTTAAAATGCTAGATGCCTTAAATCATAGTTACATGTATACAAATCTTTTCATACATAAATCTTTTCAGGAATGAAAAACATGTATTATTCCAGGTAGAATAATTATACTGATGAAGAGCACAGACTCTGAAATCAGTACTGGATTGAGACTCACCGCTCTATAAAATCAAATGATAAACTGACAAAAATATACAATTCATATCACAAAGAGCTAATCTGCCTAACATTTCAAGAACATCAAAAACCTAACAAACTAGTCCAGGCATGGTGGCTCACAGTTGTAATCCCAGCACTTTGGGATTATACTTTGGGAGGCTTGAGGCAGGGGAATCACTTGAGGTCAGGTGTTCGAGACCAGCAGGGCCAACACAATGAAACTCCATCTCTACTAAAAATACAAAACAAATTAGCTGCACATAGTGACGCATGTTTGTAATCTCAGCTACTAGGGAGGCTGAGGCAAGAGGATCGCTTGAACCTGGGAGGAAGAGGCTGCAGTGAGCTGAGATCATGCCACTGTACTCCAGACTGGGGGACAGAGCAAGGCTCTATCTCAAAAACAAACAAAAAAAAACAAAAAAAGGCTGGGCGCAGTGGCTCACGCCTATAATCCCAGCACTTTGGGAGTCCGAGGCAGGTGGATCACCTGAGGTCAGGAGTTCAAGACCAGCCTGACCAACATGGTGAAACCCTGTCTCTACTAAAAATACAAAACAAATTAGTTGGGCATGGTGGTGCACGCCTGTAGTCCCAGCTACTCAGGAGGCTGAGGCAGAATTGATTGAACCCAGGAGGAGGAGACTGCAGTGAGCCGAGATCATGCCACTGCACTACAGCCTAGGTGCAAGTGCCAGACTCCGTCCCAAAAAAAAAAAAAAAAGCTAACAGAAAGCCCAAAGACAGAAACACACAGATTACTAAAAATAAATGACCTTAAACAGATGAAAAGACACTCAACGTTCACCAAGTCATCTTATATCTAGAAACTCACCCTACAGATATACCAGCACCACAGGAAAGTGACTTATGGTTACTGTAACATTGTTTAAATGGAAAATACTAGAAATAACCCAAGCGCTCATAAATAGAAGACGATTAACCACAGCACATCCATCCTACTATACAGATGTTCATAAAGTAAATGTAAAAGTTCTCTATGTGCTAAATTGAAAAGATGTCCAGGACAAATTAATACGTTAAAAAACCTATGTATCATGCCAATCCAATGAAAACACACACACACACACGTAGATACCAAAAGCTAGAGAGGATGCAAAGGAACAGGAACTCTCATTCATTGCTGGTGAGTGTGTGAAATGGTACACTGCGGAAGACAGTTCAGCAGTTTCTTACACTAAACACTCTTAGCATTCAATTAATCCAGCAATCATGATCCTTGGCATTTACTCAAATGAGCCAAAAAATTCATGTGCATACAAAAATTCCCAAAGTTGCTTGTTACAGCTTTATCCGTAACTGCCAAAAGCTGGAAGCAACCACGATGTCCTTCAGTAGGTGAGTGGGTAAATAAACTGTGGTATTCACAGCCAATGGAATACTACCCAGTGCTACAAAGAAATGAGCTATCAAGCTATGAAAAACCATGGAGAAACCTTAAATACATAGTACTAACAAAAAGTAGCCAATCTAAAAAGGCTACATACTGTATGGTTCCAACTACTGACATTCTGGAAAAGGCAAAACCATGGAGACAATAAAAAGTTTAGTGGCTGCCAAGAGTTGGGGGGAGTGAAGGAGGAACAGGCAGAGCCCTAAGGTTTTTTAGGGCAGTGAAAATACTTAGTAGCATACTATAGTGGTAGACACAGGTCATTATATATTTGTATAAACCCACAGAAAGAACATCACTAAGAGTCAACTCTGGACTTTGAGGGGTAATTTGTCAATGTAGGTTCATCGATTGTCACAAATGTACTCTTCTGGTGCACGATGTTGACAGTGGAGGAAGCTGTGGGGGGATGGGCAGAGAATGGATGAGAATTCTGTACTTTCCACTCAATTTTGCTGTGAACCTAAAACTGCTCTAAAAAATAAAATATTTTTAAAGTAAATAAGAAAAAAGTATGTTAAAAAAACATAGGCAGGCCGGGCGCGGTGGCTCACGCCTGTAATCCCAGCTCTTTGGGAGGCTGAGGCAGGTGGATCACGAGGTCAAGAGATCGAGACCATCCTGGTCAAAACGGTGAAACCCCGTCTCTACTAAAAATACAAAAAATTAGCTGGGCATGGTGGCGCGTGCCTGTAATCCCAGCTACTCAGGAGGCTGAGGCAGGAGAATTGCCTGAAC